CTTAACCACTGTGCTACGGGTGCCAAGCCACCTTTACCTGTTTTAACCTAACCCGGAATTGAGGGACATTCCCCATGGGAGTTCTCACTGTGTGCTAGAGCTGCTGCTCTGAGTACCTTCTAACCATTCACTCCACATGGCTGAGCCCTGAAACACTGTAGCCTGACTACAGCAGACTGGGGCAGGGCTGCCTCTGCAGCAAGAATCCCTTCCAGATACAAGTCTTCTCTAGTCTGTCTGGACTGCCTTAAAGCAGGCCCTGGTAAAGGGGCTCATGATTCGAAACTTCTTCCAATGTCATACACACGTACCTGAGAGATCAGGGGGATGATGGTCTTCCCAGCATGGCCACCAATGACAGGGACGTTGACTCGAGCTGGATCCAAACCCTGGTCACCAAAGTGTGAAGCTTGACTGTTAATGGCTCTTTGAATATAAAATATGTCTTAGCTACCCCCAAAGCACCAATACCGCAGAAATCCACAGAACCCAGAGCGAAATAAGGAAATCAGGGAAGAGGCAACATCCTACCACAGTACTACCAAATGGCTGAACAGCTGTGGGGAGGACAGGCTCCTTGTCTGGGGAGGCCATCACAGGTTCCTCCTCTACAATGAGCTGGAAGTGCCTCCGTAGAGCTCCCCATTAGCCTGAAATCCTCTCAGAATCAAGGACAGCAGTCCTCTTTCTCAGGGCTAATGCACAGCCCAGACTCATGTCCACATTCTCTATTCCAGAGAACAAATCCCCTTTCCCTCATTCTAGAGCAAAATTCAAACCTATTCCAGGAAACCCAGGCGTGAGAAGTCTGACACCTCAAATAGTGATTGGTACAGAAAGAACAAAACTGGGTTGCAATGGGGTCAAATTCCATGGTTCCAGTTAGTAGCATTTGCTACACACAGGCTGACTTGTTAAACTAAAGAATCTGTGAACCAGAAATTCTTAAAACAAACACTCTCACCTAAAAAAAAAGAGCACAGAGGTAGGAGGAAGGCAAGTAGCTCTCCGAGTAATGCCACCTGCCCCAATCACCATGGCTGCTGAGACCAGCCCCAGGTTAGGAGATAAGCCCCTTGCCTGGGAAAGGGAAGGCCAATCTCATGAGTGAGCAGAGCAGGCAGGATCAGCTTCATGCTGAGAGGTTACAGTGGGTAACTGCATCATGTGCTGGGCACTGGGGACATGGGCCTGTTTCCTGAAGCTTGGCATCTAACATGAAAGACTGATACAAACTGATGTTCCAATGCCATGTGCTCAGACAGGGGTGCAGGCAAGAAGACTGGGAGGGGCTTCCTGGGGAACAGGGGAGGCAGCCAAAGGAAGAGTGTTTCAGGCAAAAGGAACAGAAGAGCAAAGCCATGGAGGTGTGAAATATTCAGGTCATTGCTGAAAGCCACACAGAAGGGGGAGGTTGAGGGTGGCCAAAGGGTGCTTGAAACTGTCCAGAAGAACATTGTTAAGTTTAAGAATTGATATTTATTCTTTGGACAATTCAGGAATTTTCCACAATGTCAGGAAGCCCAACTTAATGGCAGTTTACTTAGTGGAAGCCTGTCAAACACTAGCTTCTCAGGCAAGGGCCAAGCTCCCTTGTCTTCTCACCTCAAACAGTGAGATGTCTTAGCTTCTACACTAAGACAGTGCCACCTAAAAGAACTTTCCGGGAGAGAGCCACATGTGGCTTATGCAACAGATGGTATACAATTTTAATGTTATTTAACCTTAATTAATTGAAGTAGCCACATGCGGCTAGTGGCTACTGTGGTGCCAGGCAGGAGTTGGGTGTGGGAACCGCACTTCAAGCTGGAGGGAATGCCTGTCTGCTTGGCTCGTCCACTTTCAGACTCAGAGATCATTACATGCTCCCATTCCCGCCCTACAGGTTTTACCACACCCTGCGCATACCGTGTGGACCTGGTTATGCAATTAAACTATTTCTTTAAACAAAGTGTCTCTCTCCACTCTACAGAGTGCCCAAGTCCTAGGCCACTTATAGACCTCTGTGACCCCCACATCTAGAAGACAGCTTGAGTGCCAGGCCCTTAGGCACATGGTGCTGTGTGAATCACACTCCCTCTGATGCCCTCAGAGAAGCTGGACAGTGCAGAGGGGAGTTTAATGAAGGGCAATGGTCCTGCATGTGTGCTTCACACTAAGCTATGTGCACAAGTTGGTCCCTGCTTCTGAGAAGCCTCCTCAAATCTGCAAAGTCAGAACAAAATGGCTTGAAGCTCCAAAAGGATACTTTTGGGGGGCCAGAGGAAGTGTATCTGCTGGATACACAACCAAAACAATTAGAAAGGTTGTGAAAGGCACCAGACTCCAAACTCAGTGCTGATGCCGTGCCAAACCAAACCTATCTTGAGAGAAGTCTGGCAGCCCACAAAGGGACAGGCATCTGGCAAGATCAGTACATTCCGAGGCAAACTACTACAGGCAACCCAGAAGAGGTGGTCAGAATCAGAGAGCAGGACTGCCGATTCTGATTATCTCGGCATTTCTGGAACTTCCTTAAGTGCTTCATGTTTGCTGATTTTATTATACTATAACTAATGAACAGCAGATAAATCCTTTGAGAATTAGTTTTCAGGGGTGAGGACAAGGGGGAAGGCTGGGGGAACAGGAGCTGAGTTTAGCCACGGAGAGACCCAGGAAATGTCTGAATCCTTGCCAATCCCAGGGACAAGACAGAGTGAGCCGAGTGGAGACAGAAGCTGGCCTGAGTTTAAACCTGCAGGGACTAATGTGAATTCCATGAGGAAACATGAGGGCTGCTTCCACCAGGGGAGCAAGCCATAAAACACTTGCAAGTCATAAGTGACCTGTAAGTGCCCTGATGTCTTTATGCCTGCTAATGAGCAAAAAGGGGACAGAGAAGTTCAATAGGACTCAGGCTATACCTGATCCAGACCTTACCTTCAGTTCAGCAACAAAGGTGTTAGCTCTAACGATGTCCAGGGTTGTCACACCAAAGATTTTATTTGGGTTGTATACTCCATGTTTCTTGAAAACTTCTGCTGTGATTGGGATAGTGGAATTAACCTGGTAAATCCAAGGGACAAGCATGATTTGCTCTGTTTTCTGAGAGTAGGGCCAAGCAACAAAAGGAACAATTTTTTTCATGAGACCACGAATAAGCCTAAAGGTACCAAATTATTAAACTGCCCCATCTGATAACTCTGTGTACAGGAAAGCCATCCACCAGACAGGACAGGTCATACCATGTAAATAAAGCAGCCCTCTGCTGCAAGGGATGCTTATTTCCTATCAGCTATCAGTTTAAATATGTGATGATGGCCCCACTGGGTACCTGCGTGGCTGGGGCCTCTGCCTGAATGGCCCAGTCCTGATTAAAGAGCACTACAGAGCAGCTAAAAGCTCAAATGAAGTAGGGTCAAATCCCAGTTCTGTCCCTCTCTGTTATAACCATGAGAAAGGTACCTAAAATTCCTAGGATTTGGTTTCTTTACCCGTAAGTAGGAGAAATAGTAAGTCATGAAGTTTTTGTGAAGATAAATGACTTAATACAGGGTAAGTGCTGAACACATTACCTGGCACACAGGAAGACTGTAACGAAAACAGAAAGGTCCATACTAGGTATCAGTTAGCTCCCCAACAAAAGAAACAGTATCTTCTTTTAACCAAATGCCCCCAAGGAAGGTAAGCTCACGGGAAAGGCAGGATCCTCTTCTCAGAGGCCATAAGCACAAGCTCTGAGCCTTTACTGGCAGCCACATTCCTCATGGACATCACTGTCACCTGGATCCTCATGACATTCAGACCAGGACCCAGATTCAACCAGGAGGGAGGAATATTGGGGCTGCTGTTAAATGTAAAACAAGGCCCTGCAAGGTCAGGCCTGGGAACCACAACTGTCCTCATTAGAAGTTTCTGAGTAGAAGGATAAGCTTCCTGCAAACAC